ATGAATTTTAAAAACATTATGTTAAGCAAAAGGCAGGCTCAAAATCCTAAATTCTACATGATTCCATTCATATGACATTATGAAAAAAGTAAAACAGTAGGGTCAGATCAGAGGTTGCCAGGGGCTAGGCTGGAAATGTTTTATACCTTAGATAGGTTAGTGTATGCACCACACTAGAATATATCAAAGTTCATCATGCTCTGTACCTAAAGATGAAGAATTTACTTTATGTAAATATGACCTAAATTTTTCAAGAGAAAAAAACATACCAAGTACCAGTGAAAGGGGATTTTCTTTTTGCTATTTCATTTAAAAAAAATGGAAATACAACATATTTTTCTTGCATTATAATGTCTTTACAAATTGTTTTTACTTGTAACTAGGAAAAAATAGTGTATCATGCTTTTTAAAAATATATTTTCTTTCAAAGGATAAAGAAATAACATAGAAAAACAAAAACGTTTTATATTTTCCTATTACATGTCTCTGAATATCTCTTCAAAGAATCACTGTAATTCCTAAGTAACCATAAATTACAGAATTCAATTTTTCATTTATATGTAAGTACAGTAAATAATCTATAACAATGGAATTAATCTATTATTCAAGTTGATCAAGTAAATATTAAAATCTCCAAAATCATATTATTTGGGACCTTTTTCTGCCAATTTTAACTCCTAGAAATGAGACATAGGTGTTTCAATATTTCTCAAGTACCTCAGGTGATTATTAGTCGTTTAAAAAGTGGAAGATGGTAAACAGATTCTAGTATCACACACTTTATCATACAACCCAGCAATCCTATTCCAAGGTACGTACCAAAGAAAAATTATGTCTATCCAGAGACCTGCACATGAATGTTTATAGCACCCTAGTATCAGAGATACTGATAAGGCATATGAACGTTTCCAATAATACTAACAAATCATGTATCGATGGCAAGAAAAAAGAAATTCAGTAATGAGACACAGCATTTCTGGGAAAGATATCAAAATAATGAAAAAATAATTGGTACGAGGCCCTGAAGTTTTAGGTGCTGCAGATACAGCAGCGAACTAAATAAAGTTCCTGCCCTAATGGAATTTACATTACATTCTAATTAGAATGCACTCAATGACAAATGAAAACATAATAAAGATGTATTGGTAAGTGTGCTAAAAGAAAAGGCAAAATAAGGAGTATAAAATGACAAGGGTGTGAGCACTTCTAGCTACTTCTGCTTTGGTGCTGCTCTATGTAAATCAATTTCTACTCAAATAAACTCAAGTTAATATGCCACAACTTATCTTTTAACAATTCTAACATCAGAAGAGGAAACCAAAGCAGAGCTCCCACCATGGCCCCAGGAGCAATGAGCAGCCAGGCAAATGTGCCTGCTGGGTCACCTTGAGCTTGCTGTCTTTGGAAGTAGTTGGGGGGTGAATCCTCCTCAAATCCTGGACCCTAGCTTTGTGCTTTTGCATTATGAGCTTTCAGACTTCATCTGAGCATTTCTTTTTCCCCACCGGATCCGGAAGCTGGCTGGTGTCCTACTGGGTCCGGGGTCGGACTTGGTCCAACTTAAGCTGAAGTGGGTCTTATGTGAGGTCTCAGGTGAAAAAAAAAAGTGTTAAGTCTAAACAAACAGGTTAATTCTATCAGATAGTCTTTAATTACACTGGCCATGGTAGAGCCTTTTAAACCTAGATTTGTAAAATAAGTAGGCCATTAGGCTGAGGTGGCTCCAATGCCATGGCTGCCTACACAAGCAAACCAAAATCTGAGACTATAAATGCTTCAAAGCTACACGTATGCACTAAGGACAAGCAATCACAAAGAGCCACCTAGGCAATCAATTTCCTTGCTTTGCTTCGGCCTTTTCTGTATGAATGTTTCTCCCTCAGCTCCTGATGGTGGAGCATGCCCAGTCTGATTTGGTGTTGCCTAATTTGAATTTTTGCCCAAATAAAATTTGAAAAAAAAAAAAAAGGGATGATGGGGCAAGGTACTAATTTGGAGACCTGAGATGGCATGAGCTGAAGCATTCTTGTAGAGGGAACAACAATATAAAGACCCAGAAGTGTTCTTCGGTGTCTTCTAAGAGCAGTGGGAGTAGCATGGATAAGAAAAGCACAGAAATTGGTAGGGGGAAAAGTGCCATAGGTGAGAGAGCTCTGAAACATCAGTACATTCATTTATCAAAGATTATGGAACATTGAAAAGTTTTTTACAGGTCATTGGTGGGAAAGGGGTTGAGTCTGGTCTTACATGTTTTAAGAATAGGTACCTATTAGATATCTAAATGGAGATGAATTCAGGAGACTGGTTGAAGCTGAAAATACTCCATAGACATGGAAAGAGAAGAAAAAAAAATACTGTAACTGTTGAGACAGGAGAAATTAGAAGTCATATGATAGCAATACCACAGGACTTCCAGAAATTAAAAATAGGTTAAGAGGCAAAATCTGTAAAAGTAAAACCACACCCAGACTCACATAGCACTACTGCAGAACACCAGGCAATGCAGAGATGTGAAGAGGAAAAAACAAGTACTATAAGAGTGCTAGTTCAATTCCACAGCTCATTCTACATATGTGAAACCTAATAGCAGTAGCCTACAATAATGACATTACAATGCAACCCACATTTTTGTTAGGTGAAACGTGTATTATCAACAATGCAACAAATATTTTTAGCTCATTTAATCATTATGAGCTGGTATTTTTTGCTTTTGAGATGCTTACATTTCTTTAGTATTTTTATCAAGACTCAAATGTACAGTGAGACATGGAATTAAAAGTATCTCATTCCCTTGGGAGTTTGAACTACCAATCCTGTTTCAAATAAAGGTTTGGGTGTTTCTTTTTTAAACTAAAGGACAAGGTTATAGTCTCTTAGTAGAAAGTCTGAAGCGTCATTGGAGAGTTTATACAGATACTTGGAAAAATCTTCAAAGTTATTTTTTTTAATCCTACTGTACCAATCACATCTTTCATTCTCTAACATAGCTACTATTTCCTATCCCTGGGTCTTTAAAAAGAATCCAAAGATTTTTCTGTAATAAAATCAACCTAGATTCTTTAAAAAAAAATTGCATAAAGCACTCTACAAAGCCACTAGAGTCATTGCCTGTTTCCATAATTCCAACTGAGTTTTCTTTTAAATATTTAAAATATGATGGCTTAAGAATTTTAACACAATTTTGACATTTTCCCTCAAGATGTTTTTGTTGTTGCATTACTGCCTAGTTAGCCTCCACTTAAGCATTCTGTTTTTATTTTTTAATTGAGTCTTGAATTTAAGTAATGTTTGATAGAGGTATCTATATTAATATGCTTAAATATATCAATTCAGAAATACTTTAAGTTTTACAATATTGCTAATAAACTACTCAAAGTTTTAACAATTAAGCCACATTGCCAGTTCACACTTCAGATGAAATCTAAAAAAATTCCATAAAAAATTAGTTGCTTTTCCATCCCTCTCCCTCACAAAACTGTCAGTTATAAAGCTACAATATTTATGGCCCAAAGATCATTTTCTAGTCAAAAACAGAGTCATGGTGCAGATAAGAATTATGTCATTTATCCCTAGTGCATATTCTTGATAAGTCACAAGAAAACTAAATGTGTAAATCAGCATAAATCTACACAATCTTTTCATTATTTAACTACAAAAAACTTAAGAAAAATTATATGTAACCTACTATATTGTATACAACTGTAAAGGTTCTAATTTTACTAAGCCACTCACTCTGAAATTAATGAAACACTCACACTCCAGTTTTCCACAGCTTTCCAGTCTGAATATTATTTTCTAACATATCCTAATCAAAAATATTTTCTTTATAAGCAAACAGGCCATTGCTTTTAGTAAGAATCATTTATTGTATATTATGAAAGTGGAGGGTTAATTGGTACAGTACTATGCATAATCTCTCATCCTTGAAAAATTAAACACAAATGGATAAAAATGCAAAGCAGAATGAGCATTGTCAAAGACAAAAATTAGGCATATTTTATAGAGAATGTTCCGTGTTATATCTATGTACTAATGTTCTTCTCCATTGTGTTTTAATAAATCTATGGCTTATTCTTTTTCTATGTAATTGCTTACTTCTTACAAATAATGAACATATTTTCCATCAATTAATGTTACATACAGTTTTAAACTTCAACTCAGCTAATAGTTGACTGAAATATTCAACTAAATGTAGAATTGTTAAGAAAGTTAGAGTCCATTCCATTGTCTCAAAAAATGTAATACTGTTCTTTTGCAAAATCTGAACAATAGGATATAATGCAAATGTCTTTGCTACAAAGTGATGAATTAAAAAACACCAACCCTGATTTCTTTTATGTTAATAAAAAGTATTTTTTTATTCAGTGCTATCTTATAGAACAAAGTCATCATTTATAGTAAATGTGGTAAAAAGTAAAAAAGGTTAAAAAATGTGTATTGGCACTAAATTGTTTTATCACTTTTATATTTAATTATAAATAAGATATTTAAAAATTGTATTATTCCTCATGTAATCTGATATACCAGGAAAAAAAACAAGATCATCATTCTTCAAGGTAACTATCTAAAAGAGGAATCACTGCTTTAAAAAAAAAAAGGAAAGCTTTGTTTTGTATCCATAGTGTAAATTTTAGACCTAATTGGATAAAAAAATATTAAAAAATACATCCACAAACAAACTTCTGTAGATTGCTCCTACAGCTAAATCAATAGGGACACATTTAAAAATATTATTGGAATATATCAATGTATTTGTCAAAGTTAAGATTCAAATTTGTTACATCACAGCACACATCCAAGAATGAATGTATGCTACGAGTCAAAAATTCCCACTGAATATAACAAAATAAAAATCTGCGAATAAATATTAGGTGTTCTAAAATAATATCAGCAGAAAACCAGAGTCAAACAAAAATTTCAATGATCTAAATTTTACTTTATAAATTCATATAGTCTTCAAAATAGATTTAGTTGTAGTGCTACACGTTAACTATATTCAATTGCTTATCAAAATATCCTTTTTTTTTCTGGCAGATAAATGTTACTACTTAAAAAAAAAGTTAAGTGCTTGAGGGAATAAAAATGCAGCAGAAAATTACAGGAGCCCACATATCCTTTTTCTTAAATTTAATTTGTCATATATAAGGTTTTTATATACAATCAGTGTGCATTGTAACAGTTTATATTAAAAGTCAATCAAGTTTATCTAAAATGTTACCTGGCTGCATAGCACATTTGACATTATTGCCCACATGAAAAGGGAAAACAAATGGATTTACAATAACTTTTGGCTGTTTTGGATTCTGAAAGTGTTCATACACCTACCCTTTTAAACCAAATGCATCTGAAAGTAATGTTTCCAGAGCATGCAGTTTAGATCTTACATTATTATCTCAGTATTCTGTTACTACAAACACAATATTGACCAAAAAATAAAAAGAAAAAAGAAAGAAATAACATGTATTTAATAAAATAGTTGATATAAAAAGAGGACTAATGGAATTAAGTGGCCCCTTTCCCCATTTTTTACATTCTAAACAATGATTCCATCAAGACAAATCATTAAAAAGTGTTATTACACTAATTTTTTTTAAACAATAAGAAGGCCTGAGTTGGTAGGGAAAGGAACAGTCAAAAAAAGCCTGAGAAAGGGAAGGAAGGAAAGCTCATTTAATACATTTACAATAATTTACAGTCAATTTTTTTGTGTATGTAAAAAGGCATAATAATAGATCACAAACAGGAAGTTCCTGGCTATCTTACAGATATAAGTACAGAATTTAAATATTCAAGCTTGTGATGAAAAGCGGCAAGGTGGTCGCAGTGTACAATGTAAACAAGTAGCTTTGGAAAGTGAACAAAATCCTTGAGTGTTTTTTCTTTATTAAGAAAAGAACTCTCTTTCATTCCTTCCTGAAACATGATCACAGGTCAGAGTAAAGTTCATATACAAACATAATTTAAATGGAGGTCAGTCTAAAATCACTGACTTAAAAACAGTTTTATCCAGCCTATATGGAAGGGCAGTGTTGAGGTCCCTGTAATAGTAAACATTTTCCATTTCTTTAAAAAAGAAAAAAAAAGTACTACAATATTTGTAGTACAGTGCAGCATAATCCTTAAATATAAAAATATTTTCTCTTCTGTTGGGATAATAGACCTTGCATCCTGGAAAGAAGTAACAATACTGCTACTGATAGAAGATCTGTTTATATCTTTCAAGTCATGTAAGGCAATTACTGTGTTGGTTTATGATATATGGCTAACAGAAAAGTCCAGAAAGACAACACATCAGTTTTTGTTATGTTTTCCGATTACTCCAGGTATGCTCAGGTGTACTTTTGTGTTCAATTGAGTGTTCAAATGGAGATCTGGAGCCATAAGGAGACCTCTGATCTAGTGGTGACCTAGGCCCACTACTGGAAGCTCTGTGGTCCATTTGCCAATCTGAGTGATACCTATAATCCCTGGAAGATTTATGATGTGCATATTCAGAACTTGACCGATGATCTGAATGTAACCGATGATCTGAATGAGAGCGATGATCTGAATGAGATCTATCTTTTAAATTTCCTTCCAAATTTGATCTGTGATCTCTACTCCTGTGATCATCCAGTTTTCTATGTTTCTCTCTATCACTGTAATATCTAACAAAAGAGAAATTAGGAATTTTAGTTAAATTAATAATGCAAATTAAATGTTTCCAAATAAACACCTTATTAAAAATAAAACAAAAATACTTTAAAGCCTACTTTTAATTGTATACAAGTTCAGTGTTTCATTATAGAACTTCCTAAGTAAGCTTAAAATTAACCACAAATATCTTTGCATGCCTCTCAAAAACTATTTGACTTATAAAACAAAAGTGAACCACACAGACCACTCAGCATCTAATTTCACATGTTCATTTTATACATCATTTGTATTAATGCATCTTAACTATCTAGAAACTGGAATAAAGGTAACTACAACTATCTAGAATAGAATACACTTGAAATCAGATCCTTGTTATGAGCCTCTAAGCAGGGGAAAAATAAAATCTCTACAATGCAGTCTATGAAATAATTTGTAAAAGACAATTTTTATTGGTGTAATGATACCTTTTAAAAGCTTTCCTTAGGTTTGATTGATTACATGAGTCATTATTACAATGTTCCTAAATGTGGCAGTTTGCTAAAAAATAAATAATTATAGCAGTTTAAGGAAAAGTCATCTTTAAAATGTTTTCCTTTTTCAAATAAAATACATTGAATTATTTACTACCACAAACACAGCTTTTTCTTTTCATTTTATGTCCTTCTCTAATTTTAAGAGCCAGTCTACGTTTGATGTATTATAATGTGACACTGCTTCTCAGAGAAGAATTTATTGCAGTGAGCACAATTAAAATACAAAGGAAATCTAATATCTTTATTTTCTCATCTTTTATTCATTTGTATTTTGCTTGTAGTGATGATCATCGACTGGTGAAAATATTTGTTTACAATAAAGGAATAAAATGTCTTATATTATATTATATTCAGAGTTGTTTACTGTTTAAAAGCAAACAAAACCCAAAACAATAAACTAAAAAAAATCCTGATTTCAGGACCATCCCAGATGCTGTGATTAAATTTAACTGCAATAAGATATTTTCACGTAAATTTTCCCTTGAGTTTTTTTTAAATGGAGTGGAATAAAGAATTTCCTCCATCAAATTTCATCCATATTTCATCAAGCTTTTATTTTACCCTACTTTATTTTGAAGAGTTTTTGAGCCAATCTTCTCCAAAACCGACAATGAATCCCATGACATAATTATAGAACTCCCTACACTTTCCTCTTATTGCACTTTGACCTTGAATTTGTAATTTAAAAAAGTTCTTAACAAAAATACAGTAGAGTTCATATTTTTCTTACATGCAAATAAACCTTATTCTCATATAAGGCTTGCTTGATTAAGTTTGAAGAGGCCATTAAGGTCCAATATAGCAAATAAAATAAAAAAGAAAAAGACATGAATAAGAAAAATTTTAAAACTGATTGTTAAATTTACCTGCTGTCTTGCTTGTAGTGATCCCAGTCACGATGATCTTTGCCATTACTGAAAGAAGAATAGGGTCTTTTCCTGGAGTCACTCTTTTTGTAAGAATCTCCCTGATGTCGGTCTTTATGATGATCATGATACTGAGATAAGTGTCTATCAGAAGAATAACTGTCCCTGCTGCTATCATCATGATTTGTATTCTCTTTCAATCTGTCCACATCTGTTAGATTAAAAAAAAACAAAAAAACTTTTATTCATGACTTCCGAAAAATACATGGTTAAAAAAAAAAGTAACTTTGCTGCTAGATTACAAGAACTCCAGTTCTAACTCCAGCTACAGAAAATCAGTTCCCAAATATGGGTAGTTAAAGTATTTAGAAATGGTCTATTAAAGCAGTACTAAAATTTACAAAAGTATCACTTTAATCTGAAATATGAAAAATCACAACTGAAATATGAAAGGCCTATTTACTTTCAACATAGACTGTATTTCTGTGATTCTTATACAGAAAAAATGCATTATTGTATTCTAAAATTTTTTAATTTATCATTTTAGCAATTCATCATTTCAACATTTATTTTATAATTTTTAAAAAGTGGTAGAAGGTGATTTATGGAAAGGTTAATAAGAAGAAAAAAGGATTATTATTTAAGATAATAGACCCATTATAATAATATGGGTATTATCTAAAACAAACCCGCTAAAGGAAAACAATTTATAAATTTACTTTCCAAAACAACAGTAAGTTGACTTACCTGGATTTCTAATCACTGGAGCATTCAAGTTGCTGTTCTGGTCATTATTTTGCTAAAATAAATGCACATATATAAGAATATTATAAATGGCATCAAAACCATTACAAAACAGGGGAAAAAACCCTAAAAAGAAAATCTCAAGGCTGAAAGAAGTCCTTATATAAGACACTAGAATGTGTAAGAGCAGCATTTGCAGATATCTTTTTAAAAACAAAATATTTGTCCCATGACGTATTAAAATAATTTCAGATTTAACAGAAAAGCTGCAAAATTATACCAAAGAGTTACCATATGCCTTTCTTCCAACGTCTCCTAATGTATCTTATATAACCATGGCATAAAGATCAAAACGTGTGAATAGTTAACATTAGTACAACACTATTAAATGAACATATACTTCATTCAGATTTCACATTTTTCTACTTAGATTATTTTTCTGCTCTGGAATCCAATCTGGAACTCCACTTAACACTTAGTTTTCATGTCTAACTTCCTTCAATGTGGGACAGCTCCTTAGTTTTTTTCTTGTCTACACTTCTGAAGAGTACTAGACAGTTATGGTATAGAGTATCTCTCAACTGTGGTTTGTCTCACATCTTCTCATGATTAGACTGAGATTATGCGAACCACACAAGTGATGTACCTTTCCCAGAACGTCATATCAGGTGGCTCATGATGTCGCTATTATACTGGTGATGTTAACCTTAATTGCTTACTTACAGTGGGGTTAGGGAGGTTTCTTTTCTAAAAGTTATTGTTTTTCTTTGCAATTAATATCCATCTTGAAGGAGACACTTTTAGACTGCTATTATCTTGTTTCTTGTTCACTAACTCTTCTACATTTTTTCATTCAATTCTTTTCTAAGGAAGAATGTCTCAATTTTAGTAAGATAAATAAGAAAAAAAATGATGTATTAATTTACCTGAGATTCCTGCCGTTTTTTAATAGCATGCTTATATAACTTATGCAACTTTCTTGCATCAAACTCAGTAAACTTAGATACAAAAATCCACAGGTTTCTAGAAAAAGAAAAGGCAAATTAGTCTGGTGGAAAATATTTAGCTTTTTCATAATTCCCTCTGCAGAAACAAAAATACACACAGATTTTACCCTCTATAGAATAACGTCTAAGATAATTATTTCTAGTGTTTTTTTATAAACTTCATATATGGGTAAAACTCTAAATGAAACTTTAGGTTTTACTTCTCTTCCAAATCTTTTCATTTTTACAATTTTTTGAGTGAAAAGTAGTAATCAATCCTAATTTGAAACCAGAGATGTAAATTTACAAATCAGGAAGGGACTCATAATATGATTCAGATTAGTTATAAAAGGAACAAGTTATGTCAGTAGTCTGAATAAATGTAAAATCAGTAATATAAGCTTGTGAAAAAGAGGGTGCTCAATAATGCATTAAAAAACAATTGTCATTTCATAATTTTGATGTAATGGTCATGAGAATAGTATGAACAGACACTATAAACCATGGACAGCATGTCTTTAGGCCTCTGTTCCCACCCCAAGGCAAGAATTAGTAACTGACTATAGTACTCTATTATGATAAATTCAGATGTAGCCTGTGAGTACTTCTTAACACAGCTTCCTCAACAGTCACTCATAATCAGTGATACCTGAATTGAAGTCTATTTGCTATCACTGAAATAGAAATGGTTTCACATATTCACAATTTTTTATTAAATGTTTTTTCAGAAGGTATTTTAAAGTATGATTTTGAATCTTGCTTATATAAACAGGGTAGAGAAATTACTAATTAGCCAATGATGGAGTCTGGCATATTACCCAACATAAACATCTTTAATGAACCAATCAATTTTAAGGAATTAAAAAAAAAATAAACCTCTGTATGAATAATGACTACCTAAAAGAAAGCCATCTTCCAATGACACTGATGGAAGGAAAAAAAGGTCTGAGAAGGCAAAAATTCTTATCTGGAAAATAACTTTTCATTCTATTTTATGGAAGAAATTATATAAAACACTCTGGGGACTTTTAAATGGCTGACACAATTTCAAATATCAAGCACCTATTGCTTATCACTATAAACCTCACATTAATTTATAAAGCCTGGAATGAGAGACTATTGACAACAGGTGCTTTACCAAGTTTTAATATTTTCAATGCTCTTTTCTATTATTTAATTCCACAAATAATCTTTAGTTAGGTAGGCAGAGTAAATACAGCATCCAGTTTTTAAAATAAGCAAATGAAGTAAGGAGGCTAAGTGACTTGCCTAAACTCATATAGCTAAGTAAAGGTAGAAGACAGGGCTCCTAATTCGCCTTTCACTAAGATAAATAATTCCCAACCATCTGATTTTGGACATCGACATGTAGGATTAGCTGCTGGCTAGTAAATTACTAAAAATTTGCTAGGTGTCAGTAGATTTTGGAATGCACTGTCTGTCAGTTACGCATTAACTGCAAAATTGTCCTAGCACATGTGCATACAGAGGTTGGTAATTATTCCAGAGAATTCTTACGTCAGTTGTGGCTTTTTCAGTCCTTTTTTTGTTTCAATAATCATATAAATTACCATTAGTATTATAAACTTATTTTGTGAAGGTTGTTTGCCTCACTGCAGCATATATTTATCCTTCATCAATATTTTTGCCTATAATTTTACAAAAAAAAGACTGTAAAATTGCACTGCAATTTAAAGAGCAGTCACTCATATTCTCATATTTAATGGACATGTATATGCATAACACTTAAAATTTGCTTCTGTCATGATACTTCGTAGCCTGTAAAATCAGGGTATTGATATAAATTATAGCATGTTAAAGCATAAAAACTAATATTATCAGGCTTTTTTAAACTAATGGGACACTTTCAAAATATGTATGCAGAGATTACATTGTTTCTTAATTTTTTTCAACATCATGAAAATTTTCAAACATACATCAAAGATAAAAAGAATTTTACCATGGTCACCCACATACCTACTACTTAGATTCTAGTGTTAACATTTTACTATGCTTGCTTCATGACATATTTTCATACATCCATGCCTCTGGCAATCCATGTAATTTTTGTTTGCATTTCAGGTATTAGTATTTTCCCCCTAAATACTTCAGCATATGTATCATTAGTTGATACCTGTTTATTTTCTTTTAAAGATAAAATATACATAAAATAAAATGCACAATTTTTAGGTTCACACTTGCTGAGTTTTTCAAATTAATATACTATATAGCCCCAAAACATATCAAGAAAGTTCTGTTTTGCTTTTTCACAAAGTCTAAGTTCTTTTTACCAATGGAGAGTTTTAACAGACAATGGGTAATAAATGGATAAATAAAAATTGAGAAGCACTCTCTAAACTACATTGCCCCATTAACTGATTATCAGTGAAGTCAGGGTAGATAAAAACTAAGTAGAGGAAAACAAAAAGGTGTGTTGCCCCAGATGGGTAAAAAGAGGAATCAAACCTTAGGAGGTAAAGGCAAACATGATGCAATAAATCTCCCAGCTACTCATCTCTTTTGTTTTAGAAGTTTTCTCCCATGCTCCCTTTTTTCCTAATAAACTAAATCCAAAATAGCATTATATTTGTATTAGTCACAATATAATTTCAACAAGATGTTTATTTCTTATCTTTCTAGTAAGGTAAAATAATTTTCTCTCTCTTTACAACTTCAAAAATCTAAACTCTAAGTTTTAAAAAAATGGTACATAATATACAATGAAATAGTTTCAGATAGAAATCAGGCTCTTTTTACACTAAAAACAGGAAAAACACTTAATATAATCCTGTAAATTAACTAAATTTAGCTTTAAAAAATAATTCACTGCATTACCTTTATTTTTCTAATTTTATCAAAGAAAAGCAACAATCAAGACATGTTTGGGAGCCACTGACAGAGAAAATTTCACTTTGGATTCTGAGTATAAAAACAGATTTTCATCAAAGCCATATATATATATTATATATATATATATAATATATATATAAAATATATATATAAAAAATATATATATATTACACACACACACACACACACACACACACACACACACACAGTCTGTCCAGAAAGTAACTGACCATGCCATATGAAAAAAAAGAGAGATTTACTGAAAAAGATACTAGATAAAAGGACATTGTACATAAGACAATGACGCCTCAGTCCCCTTCAAAGTAGGCACCTTGGGACCTCACACAGTTCTCCCAATTGCCATTAGCTGCTCTATCGAGTTTTCCTGAATCTCATTAATGGTCTGAAATCTCTTCCCATTGGGAAATGCCAGAAGTCACAGGGTACCAAATCTGAGCTGCAGGAGGGCTGAGTCACCTGGGTTTTACTATTTCACAAAAAAACTCTGCATGAGGTATGAGAGTTTTCATGAGCAGGCTCATTGTCATAATGAAACTGCCAATCACCAGTTGCCATAGCTGTGGTCTTCTGAATCATCAAAATAAGATTCCGTGGAGGAATGTTCAAGCTTAACATAAAATTTCATGCAGATCTCTTGCTCGACTCACTCAGTCATTTTGAATGTGACGGCCACACAGTACACACATTTACTCAATGGCGTCTACTGCCCCCAATGACTAGTAGAGTGAGGTTGTCATTGTTCACACTTGCACATTCCAGTCCACTCCTTGGCTGCCAGGTTATACAGATGTTGTGCAAACTGTTCTCATTATATTAACAATGGTTCATATAACTGATATTTACTGTATTCTTGTTCTCTGACTCTGCACTTTGGGAATCATCAGAGGACTTCAAAAGGATGAAATAATTGCTTTATGGTATTTAAGGAAAACGTTAAAAGCTCCAGTCAGTATATCTATTCCAACCAAAAATAAAAGACTAAGACAGAATATATATTCTGTAGTACTTTAGGATTATTCTCCTCCATTCCTCATAATAAATGTTATCATGATCGTTTAGTAAGTAGAAAATACGTAGCACCTCAAAATTTATAAAGGACTTCAAATATAGATGTTATTTCACAATGATAATATCAGGGGCTCAGAGATACTGGTGATTATTCAAGTTCACAAAGCCCAAAATTAGCCAAGATAGGGACTGAGCACATCTTCTGGTGCCAACTCTAGTGAATATTCCGTGGTATTATAGTCACATGACTTCAGGCTATTATTATTATTGTCCATGCATGGCTTTAACTTCTTCAGACATGGTAGTGTAGTTTCACTTCTTTTCAAAAGCCTAGTGACCATGATTAACTCCCTATCTCCTCTCTCTAAAATGAGTATAGATTTTTTTTTAAATTTTAGATTAATCATAATCACTCCTCTAGAAATGTTAGTTTTCTGTTTTGATATGTAGCTGCACTGCATATAGCAAAGAAATCAGTAGACTAATAAACTGATATGAGGGACTAGTTTGTGTTCATTTTATCTTTTTTTCCAAATTTGTGTAAGTTTGGTTTAACACTCATCTGTATCTGGTAATCATTAAGTGATTTGTATAATATTATAGCAGTTTAGTTACAAATCACAGTTGGTGATAATCATGATGCATAATTAAGTGTTCACTCATGAATAAAAAAGCTTTAAAGAAAAAATAAAAACGATCATCTTCAAGTTACCTCTCTAAACATTAGAGAGGTACTAAATTGTTACTAAATTTCAAAAGTAGAAAAATAAATTGAAATGTAAGGGACAGATGGTTACATAACCACAAATTTAACATTTCCTGGAAAGTACATCACTTACTTTCTCCACTGTTTGATTTGTTCAGGATTTGTATACTCCTTCAGACATTCTGTGATATGGTCTCCAATTTTTATTAAACATTGTCTAGTATGCTCTAGTTGTTCTCTTTCTGAAAGGCCTTTCTCAGGCCTATCAAGTTGTTTCAAAGCTGCTTTGACAGGCCTCATTCTTTCTTTGCACTGTAAAAAGGGAAAATAAGAACATAAATACATGTATTAAAAATATAAATGCAACAAAGATCTTTCAATGATATTTATATGAGTAAATATAGCATTGTTTGATGCTAAGATAAGCATTAAATCTTACCTCACAGCTCTTAAATACCAAAGGTCTCTCACTCAGATCCTCTTTGGAAAGTAAGGCTTTCATAAACATTTAAAATCAGTCTCTGTGTAAATAAACACTTTGGATTTCACTTACCTTCTATAAAAAGTGCTACTTTTTACATTGTAATACACCATTCTAAGCAGTCTTAATCACTGAATGTTAAAAGATAATAAAATATTTCAAAATATTATGTACTATCCTATATTTACTATGACAGAATAAAATGTAAAAAATAAGGATCTTTATATAATAAACTGGTAAAGCTATTAAAATAAAAATAACTACAAATATAAACTGTCTAGTCTTCTAAACCTTTGGGACAAAACAAAGCAGTTAATGATGAATTTTGTTACTATCATATTTTGCTGGTCAGTGAGTTGGGCCAACCTTCTCCTTGGCCTATATTATCACTGGCATGCTGACAAAAGGACACCATACTAAAAACTATATGATTCAACTAAACTCCAATTTCTATAATAAAAACTAACCTATACCAAAACCAGACTAAAAATATTACTGAACAATTAAATTTTACTTACCTATATAAATGCAAAACAATATTAAAATTAACAATAGTTATATCTACTAGTAGCAAGTTGGGTTAATTCAAGGAATGTAGGGATGGAGTAACTACAGACAACATATTTAGTTGATCCAACACCATTTATTTAAAAAAGAAAGCCTCATATCACTGCCATGCAGGTCCATTCTTATCATAAAAATAATGTGCATATATGTATGAATTTGTTTCTGAGTACTTCATTGTTTTATTGACCTATTTGTCCAAATCATTTTGGAAGTTTTTCCATCTTTCATCAGGAGTAATTTAAATAGCATTGGAATTATGTATTTCTTAGTTAAAATTAGAACTCAGCAAGGCCTGCTGTCTTTTTTTAAAAAAAGGGAAAATTTTTTAATATCCTTTCTAATTTTTTAGCATTACTTATACCTGTTCTCTACATTTCTTTTTTCTTGATCAATTTTTATAGTTCATAATCTACTAGATAATTATTCAATATATGTAAGTTCAGTGCACACTATGTTCTAGGCATTGTTACAGACTCAAGAAAAAAAATAGTAAAAGCAGGAAGGAAATAATCAGGATCAGAGCAGAAATAAATGACAGAGACTAAAAAAATTCAAAATATCAATAGAATGCAGGAGCTGGTTCTTTGAAAAGATAAAAGTGACAAAACTTTAACCAGACTCATCAAGAAAAAAGAGAGAGTAACAGTGGAACCACAGAAATACAAAGGATTGTAAGAAATTACTATGAACAACTATACGCCAAGAAATTGGACGACCTGAGTGAAATGGATAAATTTCTAGAAACATACGATCTTCCAAAACTGAATCAAGAAGCAGCAGAAAACTTGAATAGACCAGTAACAACTAGTGAAACTGAGGCTGTAATAAAAAATCCCAGTACACAAAAGCCCTGGACCAGATGGCTTCACAGGAGAATTTTACCAAATATTCAAAGAACTAACACCTAATCTTCTCAAACTATTCCAAAAAATTTAAGAAGAGGGAATACTTCCAAACTCTTTTTATGAGGCCAGTATTATCCTAATTCCAAAACTAGGTTAAAACACAACAAAGAAAGAACATTAAAGGAGAGTATCTGTGATGAACACAGATGTGAAAATCCTCAACAAAATATTAGCAAATCAGATCCAGCAGTACATCAAAAAGGTCATATACCACGATCGAGTGGGTTTTATTCCAGGGATACAAGGATGGTACAATATCTGCAAATCAAAAAACATGATACATCACATAAACAGAATTAAAGACAAAAATCACATGATCATGTCAATAGATATGGAAAAAGCATTTGATAATATCCAGCACCCATTTAAGATAAAAACACTCAGCAAACTGGGAACAGACGGCACATACCTCAACATAATAAAGGCCATATAAGAGAAATCTACTGCCAATATCATGCTCAATGGGCAAAAAGTAAAAGCATTTCCCTTAGGATTAGGAGTAAGATCAGGGCGTCTACTATCACCACTCTTATTCAACACAGTACTGGAAGTCCTAGCCAGAGCGATCAGACAAGAAATAAAAGGCATCCGAATTGGACAGGAGAAAGTGAAACTGTCATTGTTTGCAGATGACATGATAGTGTACATATAAAATATTACAGACTCCACCAAAAAACTACTAGACCTAATAAGTGTATTTGGCAAAGCAGTGGGATACAAAGTTACTATTCAGAAACAAAAATTAGGAAAAATATCCCATTTTCAGTAGCAACAAGAAAAATAAAGTACCTAAGAATAAACCTAACCAAGGAAGTGAAAGACCTGTGCTCAGAAAACTACACAACAATGAAGAAAGACATTAGGGAAGACACAAATAAATGGAAGCATATATCGTGTTCATGGATTGGAAGGATTAGTATCATTAAAATGTCCATACTATCCAAAGCAATTTATAGATTCAACACAATTCCTATTAAACTACCAATGACGTATTTCACAGGTATAGAACAAACATTTCAAAAACTTACATGGAACCACAAACGACCCCAAATAGCCTGAGCAATTCTGAGAAAAAAGAGCAAAGTAGGAGTGATCACAATACCCAATATCAAACTATATTACAAAGCCACTGTAACCAAAACAGTTTGGTACAGGCATAAAACAAGACAGATAGATCAACGGAACAGAATAGAGAACCCAAAAATAAACCCATGTCTGTATGGTCAATTAATAATTGACAAAGGGGGCAGGAGCATAAAAAGGAGTAAAAATAGCTTCTTCAACAAATGGTGTTGGGAGATCTGGACAGCCACATGCAAAAAAATGAAGCTCAACTACCAACTTATACCATGCCCAAAAATAAACTCAAGATGGATGAAAGACTTAAATACAAGCAGTGATATCATAAAAGTCCGAGAGAACATAGGTAGGAAAATCTCAGATATCCCACATAGCATATTTTCACCAATATGTCCCCTAGAGCAAGGGACATAAAGGAAAGAATACACAAACAGGATTATATCAAAATAAAAAGCTTCTGTACGGCTAAAGAAAACATCAGCAAAATGAAAGGGGAACCAACGTATGGGAAAATATATTTGCCAAGGATACATCAGATAGGGGTTTGATCTCCAAAATATATAAAGAACTCACGTGGCTCCAATCCAGGAAGACAAATGATCCAGTCAAAAAATGGCCAAAGGACCTGAACAGACACTGCTCCAAGGAAGACACAGGGCCCAGAGACATATGAAAAGGTACTCAGCACCACTAGCCATCAGAGAGATGCAAATTAAAACCACAATGAGATACTACTTCACACTGGTCAGAATGACCATCATAAACAAATCAACAAGTGCTGGCAAGGTTGTGGAGAATAGGGAACCCTAGAGTACACTGTTGGTGGGAATACAGAGTGTTGCAGTTACTGTGTGAAAAACAGTATGGAATTTCCTTAAAAAAACTAAAAATGAAACTGCCTTTTGATCCAGTGATTCCACTGCTGGGAGTATACCCTAAGAATCCTGAAACACCAATTCAAAAGAACCTATGCACCCAATTTACAATAGCCAAGTACTGGAAGCAACCCTAAGTGCTGATCAGTAAATGAGTGGATCAAAAAACTATGGTACAGTCAACACAATGGAACAAGATGCAGTAGAAAGAAAGAAGGATCTCCTGCCCTTTGAGACAGCATGGATGGAACTGGAGAGCATTATGCTAAGTGAAATAAGCCAGATGGCAAAAAACAAATAACGTATGATCTCACCTATAAGTAAAACCTAATCAACAAGACAAATAAGCAAGCAAAATATAACCAGAGACATTGAAATAAAGAAAAACTGACAGTAACCAGAGTGGAGGGGGAAGAGGGATAATGGGGAAAAGAAGGGGAAGGGCCGTAAAAGGAAAATGTATAGAGGTCACATGGGCGAAGCCAATGCGGGAGAAGGATTGAGGGAGGGAGGTGGAGGTGGGTGGGCAGGGTATAGTGGTGGCAGGAAAAATGGAGATAACTGTACTTGACCAACATTAAGAATAAATAAAAGTTTAAAATAAGTTTATAAACCCATTGGAAAAAGACAAGGCAGAGTGCCCCTTACTTTGATGAAAAGCAAGAGAGCATGTAAAGCCCGTGTATTTTAGACTAGTGTTACTCAAAGTATAGCCTATCATCCTGTACTAGCCTAGGGGATAGGTAGAGAAATTTTAGAAACCTTTATATCTATCTGTCAGGGTGATTTCTGCCAACTGAATCTACTACTAAAAAACAACAGGGCTTGTATTTTGTACATTTAAAAAAAGTTTTCACTTTTGTTTTTATTGTACTTTCTAAAATACTGGAAAAGAAGTTACTTCTTCACTCTAGGTAAGAAGGCACCGTTATACAGGTTTCCAAGGAATTGAAAGTTTGAAATTCTACAAATTCTACAGTGGGAGGAAAAAAAATGTTCACTCTAAGTAGTCCCTAAATGCTTCTCCTTCAAGTTTTTAACTTATTAAGTTTTTCCAAATTGATTCTAAACTTAAGATTGATTCTAAATTTAAACTTTTACGTGTATTGCTTTGTTAACCTGAATTGCAGTACCAACAAATTCAAAGAAATTTCTAAATTAAAAGTTCTAAAAAATAAAATTGTAATTTAAATGTTAGTATTATTATAAATAACCAGAAAGTCTACTACTTACAATGCTGAATGTCTTCTGATCCAGTTCTTCTGATTCTTCCAGATATGGGAACTGGTTCACCACTTGTAGTGATATGAACTAGAGCATCTGATACTGAAGATTTCTTGGATTTTTCCTTGCTATCAGACTTGGATTGCTCAACTAAAAGAAAAATTCAAAATAAAACAAAAACAAAAACCCAACAACAACAAAGGCAAAATGATTAACATTTCCAGAAAACAATTACTCTATTATGGTTTACAACTGTTTTATTCACATTAATATTCTTACATATTTTAATTTTCCCCAATTTTACTTGGAGAAACCAAAAATAAAGCTACTCTGTTATGTTACCCTACAGGTAAGAATTTAAAAAAGAATTTAAACCTATTTTTCTCTTTTATGAGATACCCACATGTTTTGAACTCAGTTATTAAGACTAATTTGGACTAATAGACAATTTATTCTCCTAAAATGTAAACAAGCTAAGTGTGTAACTTTCTAAAGTTTACATTATGATTTGCATACCTTTTCTTCCTTTATGTCTTTTCTTTCTGCATAGCTTCTTAGCTTCTTTTACTTTGTTTTCTCTTTTTTCTTTAAAATCTTTTTCTTTTATATCTTTCTTATCCTCTTTTTTCTTTTATCTCCCTTTTAAGTTCTCTTTTATTTTCCTTTTCTTTTGCTTCCCTTTTTCTTCTGGTTCCTTCTTTATACAAACATCTGGCTCAGGTTTTTCTTCACTGTCTCTTTCTGTTTTAATTTTTTTTATTTGGATGTTTCACAGAAGTGATCTCATCCTGGAAAGTGCAAGTATGGCCAATGTATTACTAACCAAATCGTGACAAAGATTAATTTTTTTTTTTTTGCATGACTATTGATTGCATGTATGTGGATTCTGAAAGAAATAACTCAGAATCCCATTAATAACGATACATGCAAGTCTTCTTAAAACAACTAACATAAGTCAGTCCCATTCAAAATTCATAATAAAATTAAAGGAGACAGAACCTCATTCAAATGGCAAATGTTTGAAAAGGAAGGACCTTTGCTCTATCTCTCTAGTGATATATAATACTGTATTAGATGAGTAGAATACTGTTCTGTTAGTGAGACTACATAATAAACTATAAAACAAAACAAAACAAAAACAAAAATCCCTCATCAAAAGTAAAATTTCAGGCCTTAGTTCAAATATCAAATGTAAAATATACCAAAACATGCCATGTTCCTTTCTCTCTAATAGGTTGCTTTTTCTAAAACACATTTGTCTTTCCTTATCATCTTCATCTGACTTTTCAGAGGGCAGGGAGATGAATCACTCTTTATTTTCCTCTTTCACTTTTATAGATTTCATTGCTTTATTCTTCTTGGCTCTGGTTTTTCTCCTCTTTGAACCGCCCTAGAAATATTATTTAAATTCTAACCACCTCCACAGATTACACTTATAAAAAACTGCTTAAATTCTGAATCAAAAAACCCAAAGGAACACATATTTCTACCCAATCCTTAGCCTGTTGGTGATAAGCTATATCAGGCTTAGAAAGTCAATGAAATCAGTAAAAGGTTTAACATAAAAAGGAATTAGAAGAATTAGGAGAGAAATAGGAGAGAGTTTTTCACCATCCTAAGTTATTATCATGTAAAATTAATGCTACCAGAGATAGCATTAGAAATTACTTTTTAATGGTACATAGTATAGTTATGACATTGTATTTATAGGTAAACTTT